AGCAATGAAGGGGTTTCACATGGCAGAAAATGGTGAAGCAGAGACAGACTAACCTCTCATGTGCTCTTCTTTTAAAGCCCTCAGAACCAGGTTGCCCCTGACCACCATTATTAATCCATTCACTGTGGCATGGTCATACAATCTAATCCCCTCTTTAAGACCCCATCTTTCAATTACTGCAATAGGATTTCCCACCCTGAATAATTACATTGGGATTTAAGCTTCGATGAGGTTTGGGAGGCATAATCTACAGCAACATCTATCTCCAAAACTCACTCTAGTACACTAGAAATCCTTTACTTTTGTATCTTTTAACTGAGAAGGAAATGGCATCAGAAATAATGTCAGACCTCCATTTCACAGATAAGAAAACTGAGGCCCACAAAGGGCAAGTGGTTTGCCATAATCTCACAACTAAGTTTGGAGCTGAACTGGTACTTGAACTCAGGTCTCCTAATTCCCACTCCCTTGCTCTTTTCACCTCCTAAAGCCAGCTCTGTGAGGAATAACTGACGAAGATGCAGAATTTCCAAATTGCAATTTGAGGAAATTCCCCAAGGGGACTTCCTCATCCAAGCTGGAGGTCCACAAAAATGCAAATACAGAGGGAGGTTCTAAGGTCCCTAATAGTCTAGCCTCCATGTCTTCATGCCTAAATGCTGAGGGAGGTGAGTGGAGGGGGCAGGGGAAGCAGCATGGAGGAGAAGCAAAAGACCAGGGATCCCCATCCCTGAGAATAAAAGCAATGAACAAGAAGCCAAGGGGCTTCCCACGACTAGCTTTAAAAAGGAGCAGAGTCCAAAACACAATCACAGACTCCTATAAGATTCCAAAACTTTTGTCACTTCCTTTATAATCCTGTCTGTGAAACTCTTTGAACAAGGGTCTGTGTGCTGGGCTACATTGACAGCCAAGAAGGGAGGAGGACCAAACATGTCTCACTCCATGGCTACGCTCTGAGAGAGAGAACACCAGTGAAGGACAGAGCATGAGGCTGAGTGTTTGAAGTCTGCGGCATAAAGGGCAGCAGAGCTCAGGGCAGGTATGAGTTACCATCATTTTCTATGTATTTCTTCCCAACAAGTGAAATAATGCCTAAAGTATCTAGCAAGATGACTGACAGCTAATGGAAAATCACTGTCGCTTCTCCCTCCCCCACCTCCATGCCTCCTAATTCTCAGCTGAGATGAACAACTCTACTGGGAAAGAGAAGACACTGAGGGAAGAAATGCTGGAGCCTGGACATTTGAGGAGATAAAGGGAAGAAACTGTTTTCCGAGCATCTACTTTGTGCCAGAAATGGTGTTGGGCTGTTTACTGATTGCCTCGTTTAATCCTCTGAGGTGTCCTAGGAGCTAAATATTCTTGGCCCCATTTCCAGAAAGGATACCAAGGTACAGAAGAGGTAATAATTTGTCCAAACATATAAAGAGTAAATGCTGTCTGATTTCAACCCCAAGTTTGTTCTGCTTCACCAGGCTTTCCCTTGAGGCTGGGAGTAGCAGAAGGAGGCTGGGAAAGTGCTCTGGCAACAAAAGTTCCTGAAGGGCAGGGGAGAGAGAATTTTGTAAAAGGGTATCCATGAAGACAGGAAAGCCTCCAACAAACACGCAGAGGAAAACAACAATAAAAGTATCAGAAGGAGTAGGTCTTAAAGTCATCTGTCACCCAGAAATTTTGGAAGAGCCTATGCTTGCCCCTAGGCCTCCCTCCCATGGTCCACTCCACCCCCACAGTACCTTGTGGTGGGCTCCTCTAGTAACTGGAGGCAGCAAGCACCACTTCTATCAATAAACACACCATATGTGGTCTCTAGCTGCAAAAAACAAGTGGGTGTGCACAGCGACTGTCCTGTGTGGTGAAGGTGAGAAGAGTGGGGGAGGCCGAGCTGCAACCCTTTGGCCTGAATGTGGTTGGAACTATGAGAGCATGTGTCAAAGTTAGTACCCCTGACATAGTATAATACACTTTAGGTGATGGGGACGGAAGGGAAGGCAGGGAGGGAAGGGAAGAAGGAAAAGGGGAAGAATAGAATAACACAGAAAGGACAAACCAGAGCTGGACCAAAAGGCAAACACAAGATGTAGAAGAAAGAGTCTCAGATGAGGTTTGAGTCCTGTCTCCACCTGGGCAAGTCCCCTGAGCCTGCTGGGAGGTCTCAGCTTACCTCTGCCATGCTGCTCCTGCAAATGCGCCAACCAGCCCCAATGGAGTACCTACCCTGAGCAAAGCACTCACAGAAACCATGAGTGAGACAGTACCTCACTATCTCAGGTGGGAAATATTTAGACTTGTAAACAAGGGCAGAGAAGGAGCGAAACCAAAACCCAAACCAAGGAGTAATTCTCCAGTTTGCAGATAGGGAAAATTAAGAGCAACTGGAGGAAATAACTTTGCTCAGGCTTCTTTTGGGAGCCCAGATTCCTAGAGGATGGGTGGACTTTCCCTGCTTTAGGCGTTTTTTAAAGATGAACCAGACCAGTCAGAGCTATAGTCATGGGGGTAAATCCATGTCTGATCAAAGCTTTGGAATCCAGATGGAATAAGGTTTCACTTTCTCTGCCTGCATTTGGTTTCCTAACGTCACAGTGTGAAATTTGGCTGGCAGCCAGCTTAGCTTAGGAAAAGAGTGAATGACATGAAAAATTGGGCCAGGAAGGGAAGGTGAGGGGGAGAAAGGGGCTGCACTAGACAGGAGGGGATCCTAGCAAGGATTATGGTAGGAAAAGGAGTGCCAGAGGTATGGGGGCTGATGAGAACTGGCTCTTTGGACTTGAGATGCCCATCAATGAGCCTGCTAGGTTTATGAACCTTTTATATGCAAAATTGCATGTGTGTATCTGTGTAGGTCTCTACATATCAGTGGAAAGTGTTCATGGCTTTATCAGATTCTTAAATGGCTTCAATACCCAAAATAGGTTGGGTCCAATCTCTCACTTTACAGATAAGGAAACTTAGGCCCAGAGGAAGTAAGCAACTTGCTCAATGTCATCATTAATAAATAATAGAGACCCAGACACAGAAAGAAAAATACTGTATGATCTTACTTATATGTGAAATCTAAAAAAGTCAAATATGTGGAAGCAAAGAATAGCACCATGGTTACAAGGGGCGGGGATGTGGGGGAAATGGGAAAATATTAGTTAAAGCATACAAAGTTGCAGTTAGGAAGGATGAATAAGTCTAGAGATCTAATGTACAGTATGAGGACTATAGTTAAAAATACTGTATTTTATATTGAAAATTTGCTAAGAGGAGGTTTCAGGGGCTGATACCATACACACAAAGTGATAACTGAGGAGATGAATATGTCGTTTGACTGTACTAATCATTTTACTATGTACTTATACACCAAAACATCATATTGTACACCTTAAGTATATAAAATTTTTATTAAAAATAAATAAAAAAAACAACTACTCTGCCTCAAAATCACTGTGAGGAAGAATCGTGACAAGGTCTTCCTATTGTGGGTGATTTAGTCACCCTCAACCACCAAGTTACATATGTGACAGGAGCTAGCAAGAAAACATTCTCAGTACAGGGTTATTTTTTTTTTTTTTTAATTTTTGCTTTTGTTACTGTCAATAAACACTTTTAGATAGTTCAGAAGCCAATTTCAGCCCAGCCCAGGCCAAACTATCACTAACTCTGAACTACACAAATAGGAATTGATGAAGGTTTACTGTGTTCAATTCTTCGAAATGGAGTAAGGACCCCAGCTCTAATCTGGGGGTTCCACATGGTTTCAGGTTCGAGGAGGTCCCCGACTATGAACACTTTAAAGCTGAACGGAACCAGTGGACAGTACACTAAAGTGGGAGCTGGGGCAACTGGATTCTGATCCCAACTATGTGTCAATCATATGCTGCGTGTTCTTAGCAAGTCACTCCTGCTCCCCTGGGCTTCAGTCTCCTCCTCTGCAACCAAAGAACATGGAAAAAATGATTCCTAAAGTCCTTTGCAGCTTCCATATTCTGTAACTTTTGTGCCCAGGAAGACCTTAGAATTGAGATGTGATCCCAGAAATTACAGTTTCCTCATTTGTTAAATGGGGATAATAATAGTAAATAAGTTGACACATGCTAAGCCTTTAGAACAGTGGCTGGCACAGATAAGCCCTCAGTAAATGATAGCTAATAATGGTAGTGAGTGCTGAAAGATGTCTGTCTGTCTCCTCTCTCTCTCTCTCTCTCTCCTCAACAAACCTATAACCAATTATCCCACTTTATAAACAAGGAAATAGAACTCAAAGACATTAAGCAATTTTCCAAAAGATCACTTAGCAAGTCAATGCAGGTGGCTGTAATGAAAGCAAGAAACTTCCCCAAGAGGAATCGCTCCAACTCATATCTGGTGAAAATGTCTCCAATGCCCAGCTCAGATCCACTGCCCCAGTCATAGGGTGGGTGCTCTCACCTCCTTTAGGGACCATATGAGGGGTCTTCAAAAAATTTGTGGAAAGATTTGTATTATCTTTTTATAGTATTTTTCCATGAACTTTTTGAAATATCCTCATATGTCCAGAGGACTGTCCTCAATAAAACACCTTGTAAATAACATCTTTCCATGGATGAGAGAAGGGAAATAAGATCTGAAGTGCATGAGCAGGAACTCTGAAAGCAGCCAAATAAAGACCCAGTGGCTTTTGATCCTGTCCTAACTGTCTCTCCTCCTTGCCTCCAAGGAAGCAGCTTCCTGCTCTCCAGGGAGGACCCCTGCCCTGGAAGGTAAAGCTGAGGACACCAGCAGAGGCTAGAAGTTTTCCACTACCAGTGCTTGGGCAAAGGCAGAACTGATGAGCTCACTCTGGATGGGAGGGCAGTGAGGAAGAAAGGAGAGACTCAAATTTCCGGCAGCTATTTCAGTTTTCTTTTCTGTTTTGTGCAGTTTCACTTATGATATCAGCCAATGCTTAGCTGCTGTTTTGGAAACTCCCCTTGAGGGGGCGCCCCCTCTACTGGCCCCGACTCCCTATAAAGGTCCAGCCTGAGCTGCAGAGGATCCTGAGACAGCATGTGCATCTCCCACAGCCTCTGTCCACGGATACCATGAAGATCTCCGCAGCTGCCCTTGCTGTCATCCTCTCTGCTGCCACCCTCTGCGCTCCTGCATCTGCCTCTCCATGTAAGTCCAGGTCCTGACCGCCACAGCCCAAGGAGTCAGACCCTCTGCCTAGAATGCCTAATCCATCCCACTGACTGTCCCAGACCTTGTCCTCTTCTCAGCTGCGGAATATATACTGTTTGAACTCCATTATTTATATATATATATATATATTTTTTTATATATTTTTTATATAATATATTATATATATATATATATATTTTTTTTTTTGGCAACTGGCTGGTACAGGCATCAGACCCTATTCCTTGGTTTTATCAGCACCACACTCCAAACAACTAAGCTAACTGGCCAGCCCCTATTTACATTCTTATGTACTGTTTTACCCAGATGTTCTGTTGTCCCTTAGATCTCTCAGCCACTTCATGGCAGGGACCCCTGATCAACTTTTCTGTGTCTTCAAGGCCTACGCTCCTGAGCCCTGCAGGTGCTCACTGAGTATGGAGTGATGCTGGAGATATTAGTAAGTAGGGACAGCTCAAGCTGACCTTAAAACACGACTGACTCGTGCCTGTCACCAGCAGGGTTTCTTTTATTTTTTTTTATTTTCATTTTATTTTTATTTTTATTTTTTTTACCAGCAGAGTTTCTAAGAAACTTCTGAACACTTAACTAAAAACCTCCTGAGATAGTCATATTCTCTCCCATTTCATAGATGGGAAAAATGGGGTTTGTTAGAGGATAATAAAAGCTAATTAAATAATTAAATGTCTACTATGGGTCAGGCATTGCTCTGATTGCTTTACATATATCTTATTTAATATTCACAACTACTCCTTGAGTAGCTGTCCTTGACTTACAGATGGGGAAAGAGAGGTACAGAGAGGGTAACTTGCCCAAGGGCGCACAGCTAGGTATTCAAGCTTGTTACACCTGGCTGGAGAGATAACACCACTGCTCTGCTTGGAAGTGGCAACTGTCCCTTCCCAGCATCATCTTGAATTAATTGACCAAAAAGAAGTTCTTCTCTGTTCAGAACCATTCTCAGCCAGGATCTCCCAGGATGCAATATGCATCTTCAGGACCCTCTTAGGATCCTGGCCAAGCCATGGAGCCTGAGTTTTGTAAGCCTCCCCCTAACCCAACCTAAGTATCAAAGAAACCAACTTCTTAGTCCATTGAGGATCCTGGAAGAGCAAGAATGAAGGCAGAGGGCGCAGGACAAGCCAGGAGGACATGCTCTCATGCATGTCCTGAGAGCCAAGGGCAGGGGTTATGGTAGAGAGGGAAGGATGCAAGCTTGGCTCAAGATCAGACGAGGAGTTGGGGAGATCCTCTCAGTCCTCTGTTGGAATCCTGACTCTGCCACTGTGTATCCATGGCCAAGTCACTTTACTTCTCTCCACCTCAGTTTCTGCCAAGGAGGATAATATTCTTTTCAAGATAAATCATAAGCACAACACCTAGTGTGCACTGGCAATGAATAAAGGGGTTCTCCTTCCTGCCTTCCTTCCTCCAGATGCCTCGGACACCACGCCCTGCTGCTTTGCCTACATCTCTCGCCCACTGCCCCGTGCCCACATCAAGGAGTATTTCTACACCAGTGGCAAGTGCTCCAACCCAGCAGTCGTGTGAGTCTCAGCCCATGGAGCTCTCCAGGGGGATGAGGAAGGGATGCCTTTTGCTCCCAGAGCTAGTGCCCCCAGGAGCCCTCTGAGAAGGTGCCCTACCCACACCTGCCCATCCTCCAGCTGCTCAAATAGCCACAGTTCCTCCCTGTCTAGTCTCAGAGTCCCCAGCTGTCACATAAAAGGACTAGATGAGGTGTTCTTGGAGGATCCTGCTTACTTTGATGGACTAGGTTCCTAGGTCTCTGACCTTTACTGGTATAGCTTTTACTTAAATGTGGACTGGAATACCCCTGCACAGAGAAGATTGACTCAGTCATCTAATTCCACTTAAGAACCTGACAGTCCCCCATATCCCACACCCAGTCAAATACACCTAAACCTGAGAGGAACTGGGGAGAGAGGTCAGAGGTCAGGAACCTAATTGCAGGCAAGTAAAAAAAAAAAAAAAACTTTATCAACAAGAGAAGAAATAATGAAATGAGATACTTCTTTAAATATTCAAGCTAATATATTTGGGAAAATATAATAATAATAATCCTCACTACATAGAAAGTATGTGTCGGGGCCGGCCCGGTGTCTCACTGGATAAGTGCGCCGCTTGGGAAGCACGGCGGCGCTCCCACCCGAGGGTTCGGATCCCACATACAGACCGGTTCCCGCTCACTGGCTGAGCGAGGCGCGGGAGCAGCACCGAGGGTTGCAATCCCGTTGCCAGTCCCCGGTCCGGTACGGGGGCAACACTGAGGATTGCGATCCGTTGCCAGACACGGAAAAAGATAAAAGAAAAAAAAAAAAAAAAAGAAAGTATGTGTCAAAGGTCTCATGCATTATCTCTAAATTTTACATAACAGCCCTGACAGGTAAGCATAATTCTCTCTATGTTTCAGGTAATGAAACTGAGACTCAGAGAGGTTTGTTGACTTACCCAAGGCTGCACAGTAAGTGAGGATGGAGCCTGTCTCTGGAGCCGCCCTTTCTACTATAGCAAAGTCATTAGTGATAGCTGCTTAAGAAATTTAAGATAGAGACAATGAAAATGGGGAAATCATGAAATTTCCTATTAAGAGTTTTTCAACCTAAAAATTCTCATAACACTGGCAAAATTATAGGTATTCAAAGATGGACTTTGGTTCTGATGAATCCCTCAAAGTATAGTGGTAATATTTAGCACTACTCATTTTATTTCTGAAAAGAAATATTTTTCAAAAGAAAAAAAAATCCTGGGCCGGCCCAGTGGTGCACTCGGTAGAGTGCGGCGCTTGGGAGCGCGGCGGCACTCCTGCCGAGGGTTTGGATCCCATATAGAGACCAGTCCGCTCACTGGTTGAGCGCGGTGCGGGCGCGACACCGAGGGTTGCGATCCCATTGCCGGTCGCGGTACGGGCGCGACACTGAGGGTTGCGATCCCGTTACCGGTCACAAAAAAAGACAAAAAGGAAAAAAAAAAAAAAAAAAAGAAAAAAAATCCTTCACTGAGTACCTATTACAGGCACGCAGAGATTAATAAAACCACCATCCCTGCCCTTACGGGGCTTGCAATAATCTAGTAAGAGGGATAAGACAGACACGGCATTGACAAGGGTACTCTGCAAAATAATATTACAAAAGGCAAAGAGAAGGAACACGTACTGCTTCAGGAGTTAGAAGGGATTTAGAGGAGGTTTGTTACAAAAGGTGCTGTTTGAGAAGAGATTTGGACTGGCAGAGAAAAGCCCGCAGGACAGGATATACCAGGCAGAGGGAATGTCTCCAGGATTCTACTTTGGTTTATGTAGAGTCTCCATGTAGGAAAAGCAGGGAAGCCTTCAGTGCCAGGACAAAGCAGCCAAAGTGTTAGAGCTGTCAAGGTAAATTGAGCTGGAACAGAGACAGCCTAGAGAATAGGGGTCCAGTTAAGAGGCTGTTGTCGTTATCCACGTTAGTAGCATTGGAGGCCAAACAGCACCTGAAGGAAAGGAGCGAAAAACTTTTGGAGGTGGAATTAGCAAGCCCTGGTAGGTGATCTGAGATCAGAAGCAAGGGAGAGAGAGGAGTCGAGGATGATGGTGAGGTTTCAACCCAGGTGGCTGGAGAAGTATGGGACCACTGTAAGTCTCAAGGAAGAGCTGTTTAAAGAGGAAAAAGCCAAGATGCCAGCAAGGCAAACCTGTGGAAATGTCCAGCAAGGAGTGTGAAATAAAGGGTTGGTAGCTGAAGAAAGGGTGTTGGGGATAGAGATATGACACTCTCTTGTAGGAGGAAGGGGTCTTCCAAAAAAACAAGAGGCAATGTAGCATAGTCTTGTGAGCACTGGCTCTAGAGCTAGTCTACCTTTGTTAGAACCCCAGTAACTCCACTTGGTGAGCTTGGGATCCTCACTTAACCTCTCTGAGCCTCAATTTCCTCATCTGCAAATTGGGGTAATCAAAGTACTTCTTTCACCAAATCACAGTGAGAATAATAAAATGCTTGGAATATTACCTGACGCACAGTAGGTACACAATAAGTGTTAACTTATCATCATCATCTAAATGTATTATTATATACATAGAAGTGATAGGTGAAACTTAAGGGATGAATACAATTCATTCACTTATTCAATAAACATCCCTTAAGCACCATCTATGCGCCAGGCCCAGGGCCAGAGACTTGGGAAAGAACACAGAGAAGAGAAAAGGGCAGCAATTTTGAGAATACCTGCTCTTAAGGGGCAGGTGAAAGGAGGGAAGTCGGGCAAGTACAGGGTGCCAAAAATGGGGGCAGGGAGGGAAGACTTGGCAAGGAGGGGCTGTTCTTTGGTATCACATGCTGCAGGGAGGAAGAAATGGAGTCCTGAGCAGCTCAGGTATTGGTTTTCTGACCTTTTCACTTACTGGCCAAGGAGAGAGGCTAGTGAGTCTGGCAGGATTTCCTATAGGGCTCCAGGCTGAACAAGGGCAGAGTCTGTGTCTAAAGCTCCCACACCATCCCAAATAAGAAAACAAACACTAGGAGGCGTGAGAGCCCAGAATACTCCTTCTGCTCCCTTTCTCATCTCTGCACACATGACTGGAAGAAAGATGGTCAAGTGGTTCTGAGTGAGGCTCAGAAGAGGGGAAGCAGCTTCCCTAAGAGCAAACATTATCCACGACAGAGCTCAAAGAGCAACCAAGAAATCCTCACTTCCACCAGACAACCTAAGCCTTCACTCTGTCTGAAAACATTTGGGATCAGGAACGTGCAGGACACACTTTTAAAAATTATTAATATGGTAAGTTTTATGTCATGTGTATCTTACCACAATTTTTAAAAGTTTTTCAAAATGCTGTTAGGCGTGGAAATAAGTTAACTATACAAGCTTAGAAACTTTGATAGACATATAGATACATGCATATAGAAAGAATGAAAACATTAAGCCAAAAAAATGAATGAGTGATAAAATATTTAAATGAGGTAGCACATCAAAACATATTTGAGCATAATACTTAAACATAGGGAATACATTTACATTTTTTAAAATGTGATAGTAATTATAAAAACAAAGGCCAAATTACAAATTTCCTGTGTTGTTTAGGACATATAATTCCTTCGTTATACCATATAATAATGTGGCAGACCATGTGGTTCAATAAGATTTAAAAAATAAACTTCTGGGGCCGGCCCGGTGGCGCACTGCTACAGTGCGCCGCTTGGCAGCGCGGTGGCGCTCCCACTGAGGGTTCGGATCCCACGTACAGACCGGCCGCTCACTGGCTGAGCGAGGTGCGGGTGCAACACCGAGGGTTGCGATCCCGTTGCCGGTCCCGGTCCGGTACGGGCGCGACACTGAGGGTTGCGATCCATTGCCGGTCACGAAAAAAGAGACAAAAAGAAAAAAATAATAATAATAAAAAAAATAAACTTCTGGACAGCTGTACAATAAACCCTTCATTTTCTTCCTATGAGAACTTCTAAAATACTTAATCTGGTGTTCTAACAAGTAAAATCAATGTTCAAACTTCAAAATAATAATAATAATAATAATAATATACAGGAAAACATGCTAAAGGAGAAGCCAAAATGAGAAAGGGCCAAGTAGGCAGGACTGACCC